ATAAAAAAAAAAATATGGGAGAGGGTAAGGTACCTAGGAATTGGCAGAGAGCATGCATAGTTCCTTTGTATAAAGGCAAAGGGGATAAAAGTGAGTGCAAAAATTATAAGGGAATAAGTCTGTCGAGTATACCTGGTAAAGTGTATGGTAGAGTTATTATTGAAAGCATTGAGAATAAGACAGAGTATGATAGATGAACAAGGAGGCTTTAGGAAAGGTAGGGGGGTGTGTAGACCAAGTGTTTACAGTGAAACATAGGTGAACAGTATTTAGATAAGGGTAAAGAGGTTTTTGTGGCATTTATGGATTTAGAAAAGGTGTATGACAGTGTGGATAGGGGGGCAATGTGGCAGATGTTGCAGGTGTATAGTATAGAAGGTAGGTTACTGAAAGCAGTGAAACGTTTTTACGAGGATAGAGAGGCTCAGGTTAGAGTGTGTAGGAGAGAGGGAGATTATTTCCCAGTAAAAGTAGGCCTTAGACAAGGATGTGTGATGTCACTGTGGTTGTTCAATATATTTATAGATGGGGTTGTAAGAGAAGTGAATGCTAGGGTCTTGGCTAGAGGTGTAGAGTTAAAAGATAAAGAATCAAACACAAAGTGAGAGTTGTCACAGTTGCTCTTTGCTGATGACACTGTGCTTTTGGGAGATTCTGAAGAGAAGCTGCAGAGGTTGGTGGATTAATTTGGTAGGGTATGTAAAAGAAGAAAATTAAAAGTGGATATAGGAAAGAGTATGGTTATGAGGATAACAAAAAGATCAGGTGACGAAAGACTGGATATCAGATTGGAGGGAGAGAGTATGGAGGAGGTGAATGTATTCAGATATTTGGGAGTGGACATGTCAGTGGATGGGTCTATGAAAGATGAGGTGAATCATAAAATTGATGAGGGGAAAAGGGTGAGTGGTGCACTTAGGAATCTGTGGAGACAAAGAACTTTGTCCATGGAAGCAAAAAGGGGAATGTATGAGAGTATAGTTGTACCAACACTCTTGTATGGGTGTGAAGCATGGGTGATGAATGTTGCAACAAGGAGAAGGCAGTGGAGATGTCATATCTGAGGGCAATGTGTGGTGTGAATATAATGCAGAGAATTCGTAGTTCGGAAATTAGGAGAAGGTGTGGGATTACCAAAACTATTATCCAGAGGGCTGAGGAGGGGTTGCTGAGGTGGTTCAGACATGTAGAGAGAATGGAACAAAACAGAATGACTTCGAGAGTGTATAAATCTGTAGTGGAGGGAAGGCGGGGTAGGGGTCGGCCTAGGAAGAGTTGGAGGGAGGGGGTAAAGGAGGTTTTGTGTGCATAGGGCTTGGACTTCCTGCAAGTGTGCATGAGCATATTTGATAGGAGTGAATGGAGACAAATGGTTTTTAATACAGTGGACCCCCGCTTAACGATCACCTCCAAATGCGACCAATTATGTAAGTGTATTTATGTAAGTGCGTTTGTACGTGTATGTTTGGGGGTCTGAAATGGACTAATCTACTTCACAATATTCCTTATGGGAAAAAATTCGGTCAGTACTGGCACCTGAACATACTACTGGAATGAAAAAAGTTCGTTAACCGGGGGTCCACTGTACTGACGTGCTGTTGGAGTGTGAGCAAAGTAACATTTATGAAGGGATTCAGGGAAACCGGCAGATTAGACTTGAGTCCTGGAGATGGGAAGTACAGTGTCTACACTCTGAAGGTGGGGTGTTAATGTTGCAGTTTTATAACTGTAGTGTAAAGCACCCCTCTGGCAAGACAGTGATGGAGTGAACAATGATGAAAGTTTTTCTTTTTCGGGCCACCCTGCCTTGGTGGGATTCAGCTGATGTGTTAATAAAAAAATAATAATAAATAATAATAATAGCAATAATCACCGAGTCTCATTAAATGTCATATATTACGTTAATATTCACATTTTCATTAATCCATCTATGATATTTTCTCAAAATTATGTAATAAACATGATACGTAGCATATAAACATATCCCACAGTAGAATAAATTATCATCAGTATGAGACAACTTGTAGGAGTGATGGCAAGAATAATGTTTTTTCTAGTCCAACATTGGAGAAAATGTGTTACTGGGGGTAACTGTAGAAAATTATTCCTTTTGAATGCTTTTGCTCAGAGTGTCATTTCTTCTAAAAATGGTGTTACATGAGAATGAGAGTGTTCCTCTTTATTTATTTTACTGTATCAACATGGAGACAACTTGTATACAATGTAACTTGTACAGAAACCAGACAAGTATGCCTCGTTTGTTTACAAAACTCGCGTCCGCCTGGTTTGTTTACGTAATTGTGCGCCTGTCTTCTCTTATGCACTCATTCTCTCTCTCTTTCTCATGTATTCGTTTTGTCTTTTACTCTCCTCTGACTCTACATTAAGACTACAAGTATTGTAGTCAAAGGGTTAAAGGTCATAGAATATGTGTGGGTAGGGTGGCCTGATATGGTAGCTTAGCCGGCTACCATACATACCACATTTGACTTCTTACAATAAATACTACTCATCTCACCCTACATAAAGATTAAAATATTTTAAGGTAAGTAATGAGTGTACTATATGTTTATTTCACTTTTTTATTGCTTTTTAATGCCTAGTTCTATTGCTAACTTAATATATGTTAGTGTAAACTTGTTATCTAATATTTATATACATTTATAAGTGGAAAAAAAGGGCATTCCACTTTATGATGATTTCCGCTTTACGGCGGTAGCCTGGAACCTAACCTGCCGTGCAAGTGGGCCACTACTGTATTTTATAAATGATCATTTATGTATTTCATTGGTGTAGATTGGCCAAGAACTATTTATTTTATATTAAGGATTTTCTTTTAAAGCTGAATTCCATATACACTAGGGCCCCTCTTTACAGCATTTCGCTTCACATAGTTCCGCTAATATGGCAATTTCAAATTGTGACCTAAGCTTGCTATATGGCTCCCTGTCTTTCTAATATGGTGCACCCCACCCGGCTTGTTTACATTCTCCATGAGCACATCTCTCTATTATGTCTGGAAACTTTTCAAAAAATTTAATGTTTTATAGTTATTGCATATTTTATATGTACAATGATAATTATACACCTATCATCTGACTTATGACCTGCTCGACTTACGACCACTCGACTTATGACCGTGTTTTTTATGCCAAATTTCTGGGAAATAAACAACTATTTGTGTTGTACACAGTGTTTATCCTAAACCTTACAGTGTAAAATACAGTACTAACAGCATAAAAAGTAAAGTAAAACATGAAATACCAAAGTAAAACAATAAAATAAAGTCATTACAAAAATGTTTTGTTGATATTCAGTAGTAAAGTTCGACTTACGACCATTTCGACTTACGACCAGTTTCTCGGAACCGAACTCGGTCGTAAGTCGGATGGTAGGTGTAATTATGTGTACCTGTACCTAAATATACTTACACACTGTGCTGGCATGCAGGTATACATTAAAATCACTAAGAGTCTCTCTACTCTTGATGCCATATTAATAATAATACATGTTATCTCTTGGGTGCATTAAATGTCGTATATTATGTTAATATAGCCATTTCCATTAATCCATATATGATATTTTTCTCAAAATTATGTAATAAACACTCTACATAACATATAAACATGATACAAACATCCACAGTATAAAAAATGACATAAATATGAGATTTGTTTACCGAGTGGTTTGTAGGAGTGTCGGAAAAATTATGTTCTCTAGTCAAACACCAGTTACTGGGGGATAAACTGTAGAAAAATATTCTTTTTGTGTGACTTCGCTCTATCTATAGCTATTCACAACCCTTGTGGGTTTACCACTTTTTTTATTATGATAATAATAATATCATTATTCACTCTAAAAATGGTGTGTTGCATGAGAATGGGAGTGTTGCTATTTATTTATTCTTCTGTACTAACATGTCAGAGCATCATTCCTTCTAAAAGTGATGTTACATGAGAATGAAAGTGTTGCTCTTTATTTATTCTACTGTATCACTGTGGAGACAACTTGTACAGAATGTAAGGTGTTTGTATGAACCATAACCAGATGCATTCGTCTGTTTGTTTACATAGTACTCTGCTGTACTGTAGTAGATTCGCCTCTCTTGTATCTGCGTAGTTGGGGTGGCCAGGAGGGCTACCATACCTCCCACACCTGACTTTCTACAAATAAATACTTTTCACCTCTCACCCTACATTAAGTCCATTAAGACTACAAATGTTTTAAAGTAAGTAATGAGTGTACTGTATATGCATTTTATCACTCCAGGATGCTTTAAAAATTGCAGTATATTATGTGTGGGTGGGGTGGCCAGGAGGGCTACCATACCTGCCACACCTGATTTCTTACAATAAATACTACTCACCTTTTGCCCTACATTAAGACTACAAATATTTTGAGGTAAAAAAGTGTATTGTGTATGTATTTTACTTTTTATTGTTATTTAATGCCTAGTTCTATTGCTAACTTAATATATAGTAGTGTAAACTTGTTATCTGGCATTTATATGCATTTATAAGTGGAAAAAATGGAGTTTTCCTTTCCAGCAATGTCCACTTTCCGGCGGTAGCCTGGAACCTAACCTTCCGTATAAGTGGGGCCCTACTGTATTTTATTCTAGCATTTATTCACCAGATTCATTGATATTTTGCACATATTCTTTTTATGCATTTGTGTGGCTATGTTGGTCATGAACTGTAGATTTAATATTTAAAACATTTAGTGTTGCAGGCAAATGATTCAAAGCCCACAAGCTGTGAAAAAGACAGTTACACAAAGTAACTTTATTGAAATGTTTTTCAGTCAGTGACAGATGCTTTATTTAAAATAGTTTATGTACATGTATGATTGTCTTGCTGTTTTTTTTTTTTTTTTTTTTTTTTAGAGGCAAAGCCTGTAAAACTTTCAAGTTAGTTTTGAGTGCACTTCTTGCTTATATATAAATTAAATTAAATATCAACATAATGATCCATTCCTGTCTCTCTTACTTTTTCTTTTAGGTCGCAGATTATTGGCTTGATGTCCTTTACAGTAAAGCTGCCAATATGCCTGATTCAGAATTGTTTGAATTAATCTCAGAAAATCGGTCAATGAGTCGCAAACTGGAGGAATATGGAGCCCAAAAATCCACATCAATTTCTACAGCCAAACGACTTGCCGAATTTTTAGGAGATCAGATGGTGAAAGATGCTGGTCTCAGTTGCAGGTTTATCATCTCAAAAAAGCCTGAAGGTGCTCCTGTTACTGAAAGGTGTGATCCCAGTCATCTATAGTGATGTCTCAGTAAGAGGGTATTTGGCTTTCCACTATGACTTACCATAACCCAAGGCAAACTGTGAGCACAGTGTATAGATTTATCATTATCATTAATATGCAAGAGTAGAAAACAAGAAAAATTAGGGTGGAAAATAAGCTATAAGCTTATTTTCCTCCCTAATTTAATAACAGTCTTTCAAAGACTTGGAATTTTATTACTTTTAAGGCCAAGAGGTTAGGTCAGAGCAAATGGGTCAGCACTTCTTTAATAAATTATGATAAATATTTAACAGCATTTAGTGTTGTAAAAGTGAACGAATGATTGACTTCAAGTTAATGAATCAGGGGAGTACTTTGCACTTGGTTTATGATGTTGCTGAGATACTGTTCTGAAAGTTTTTTCTTTTTTTCTTTTTCTTGAAGTTTTTTATCATCTCCAGTAGGCATAAAGAGGCAGTAGGTTGGCAGACAGTAACTGCCCAGGGAGGTACTACCGTCCTGCCAAATGAGTGTGAAAGAGAAACTTATAATTGTTTTACATGATGATAGGATTGTTGGTGTCTTTTTCTGTCTCATAAACATGCAAGGTTTCAGGTATGTCTTGCTACTTCTACTTTCACTTAGGTCACTCTATATGTACATGTATAATCATATATATATATACACATCCCTCTGACTAATACCCGCGTCAGGAAACATTTGTCCTGTTTCCTGACAAACCTTACCTAACCTAACCCCTCTGGGTTTTCTTTTATTTTCTTACTAGTTCTTGTTTATTTCCCCTTATCTCCATGGAGAAGTGGAACAGAATTCTTCCTCCTTAAGCCATATGTGTCATAGGAGGCGACTAAAATGCTGGGAGCAAGAGGCTAGTAACCCCTTCTCCTGTATACATTACTAAATTTAATGTCACCCTGCCTTGGTGGGATATGGCCAGTTTCTTGAGAAAAAAAAAAAACGTTAGTTTTCAGGTACGTATTGCTACTTCTACTTACTCTTAGGTCACACTACGCATGCCTGTTCAAGCACATATATACACACCCCTCTGGGTTTTCTTCTGTTTTCTTCCTAGCTCTGGTTATTGTTTATTTCCACTTCTTTCTATGGGAAAGTGGAACAGAATTCTTCCTCCGTAAGCCATGCGTGTTGTAAGAGGCGACTAAAATGCTGAGAGAAAGGGGCTAGTAACCCCTTCTCTTGTATGTATTACTAAATTTAAAAGGAGAAACTTTTGTTTTTCCTTTTGGGCCACCCTGTCTCTTTGGGATATGGCCGGTTTGTTGAAAGAGGAAGAAGAATAGGTATATGCTTTCTTATCTCAGGAAGCTTGGCAGTGAAGTACAGTTACAAATATTTAATAAAGCTGGGTTACTTATTGAAGCTAATACACCTACCATCCGACTTACGAGCTGCTCGACATACGACCAATCGACTTGCGACTATGTTTTTTATGCAGATGTTCTGGGAAATAAACAACTGTTTGTGTTTTGCACAGTGTTTCTCCTAAACCTTATAGTATAAAGTACAGTACTAACAGCATAAAAAGTAAAGTAAAAAATGAAATGCCAAAATCAAACAATAAAATAAAATCATTACTTAATGTGATGCTGATATTCAGTAGTAAGGTTCGACTTACGTCCATTTTGACTTACGACCAGTTAGTCGGAACCAAGCTCAGTCGTAAGTCGGATGGTAGGTGTATATTTATCAGAGAAACATAACATTAACAAGGGAATTCTCCAGTTAAACAACTTTCAATTTCTAATTTTAAACAATACTTACGAAAAGCAAAAGTTTTTAAAATATACTTTTTTTCAGGGCCATTCCTCTAGACATCTTCCAGTCAGAGCCCTCGGTGAAACATCATTATTTACGTCGCTGGCTGAAGGACCCATCGCTGACTAACTTTGACATCAGGAATATCCTTGATTGGGACTACTACATAGAAAGATTGTCAGGAACAGTAATGAAAATTGTGACCATTCCTGCAGCTCTTCAGGTAGTTATTTTTCTCTTTTACCGTACACTTCTAACTTCTCTACTACGTAGTGTAAACCTTTAATTACTACTAATGAATAATTGATGAAGAAAAAAAGGTGAGTGGTGCGTTGACGTGTATGTGGAGACAAACAACGTTATCTGTGGAGGCAAAGAAGGGAATGTATGAAAGTACAGTGGTACCAACACTCTAATATGGGTGTGAAGCTTGGGTTGTAAATGCTACAGCGAGGAGACGGTTGGAGGCAGTGGAGATGTCCTGTCTAAGGGCAATGTTTGTGGTGTAAATATTATGCAGAAAATTCGGAGTGTGGAAATTAGGAGAAGGTGTTGAGTTAATAAGAGTATTAGTCAGAGGGCTGAAGGGGGTGTCGTGGTCTAAGTACTCGACTTCTTTATTTATGAACCGATTACATTCATTTTTGGTGTACTATTAGAAGTTTATATCAAGTTTTCTGTGCTGAAGTTTCAAACATATTGGCCAAAAAGGAAATGAAATATGCAAAATTTACGAAAAATTACACTTGGCAGTTCGCTGTGACTCAGTGGTACTTGGAAAAGTGGTTTTGACACTTGCTGCTGATAGAACACCTCTAATTCCATCAATGTAGATGTACCAATTCTAAAATAAACCTTATCTTCATGCTAAAAAAAAATAAAGTTTCATAACTTTTTTTGACATTTTGGAAGATGTCGGTCTTGTTGCTCACACAAATCTGAAAATATTTGGGATACTTCAGAAAGGTACATCAAAACTTGTAAAGCAATCATTCTTCTATGTTTGTTGTGAAAATCAAGTCAATTCATTCATAAATAAGGATGGAGCAGCCATAAATAGGTAAATAACTTACTTTCAAGATATAGGCTGAAGCGCGTGGCACCCCAGGTGCCTGGGAAATTTTTTTTCCCTGAAAAATTCGCTTTATTTTACTCTTTTTCCATGACCTATGAGTGTTTATTCCAGTTAACCATTGTAAATCTCCGTTTTCTCTCATCACTGATGAGAATGAGTCCTTTCACCTTCAAGGGATATATCGCTAGAAATTTTTTTCCTCTAGGGGCATCATATTATGCTATATATTATTTTTTCAGGTGTACTTTTTGTTTCTATGCTATTATTATATTGCATTATGTCATATTAGATCAAATAAATAAGCCTTATAATTGATATTAGCGTGAGTATGGAATATTTTGTTGGCTGGAGGTGTCGGCCATCTTGGGCACTATACCCAGGGGTACCTGATTGGTCCCTTGACCATATTAGCTCCGCCCGCTCTGGCATGATCTCAGACGGTGAATTTGTATTATATTAGACATAAAGATACAAGAAAACGATAAAAATAACACGGGGGGGGGGGGAAATGCCGCGTCAGCGCTTGCTTTGCAATGTTACGCAATGCGCTGTCACCATGCCTGTTATAAATGACTGTAATTCCTTTTAGAAACATTGTACAAGGATAATAATTATACCAGAGTGTAGCCAGAAAGTTCAGCTATTTTTTTGGTAACAATAACTCAATTTTCGTATTTTTTTCGAGTTTTTTTTTTTTACTCCGCGCGGCGAAGTGTCAAGGGCTCCTGAAATGTTATAAATGGTGCAAAGGTGATATTAATGTCACCTTTGCACCATTTATAACATTTCTGATATATTTTTAAATGTTTATACAGTAGTGTACTGTGTATTCTAATAAATAGAATAGAGGAAGTCAACTCTAATATACATTATTAAGGTATTCATACTAGTCAGAGAGCCCATCGTAACTCTGAGGCCTTGGTAAACGAGTGTGTCGCTAAGTGAGGAGACGGAGTATATATATGAATATGTATATTTTTTAACATGGCTGTTTCCCACCATGGCAGGGTGACCCAAAAAGAAAGAAAAAACTTTCATCATCATTCAACACTTTCACCATCACTCATACATAATCACTGTCTTTGCAGAGGTGCTCAGATATGACAATTTAAATGTCCCTCCAAACTGCCAATATCCCAAACTCCTTTAAAGTGCAGGCATTGTACTTCCCACTTCCAGGACTCAAGTCTGACTAACCAGTTTCCCTGAATCCCTTCACAAAATATTACCCTGCTCACACTAAAACAGCTTGTCAGGTCCCAAAAACCATTCATCTCCATTCACTCCTAACACTCATGCACATATGGTGGAAGTCCAAGCCCTTGCCCACAAAACCTCCTTATATAGTGGTACTTCTAAACTCCTGTTTGGGAAACATGAAATTGACTCATGAACTGGTGCAAAAGGGACACCCTCTCATCCCCTTGTCTGTTCTGCCTGTTCGTAAAGCCTGTCAGAGAAACTCTTGCCAGTGAACTCAATATATGGTTCTCAGGTGATGGTACCTTGGTATATAGACACTACATTGTCCAGAAATACATATGTTGTCCATCTTAACATATTCTCCAGATCCAGACATTATATGGCGTGAGCAGCTCTCAGCTACTTTGTGTAACTGATCATGTACTCGGCACTCCCACATGACTGGTCATGTAGCAACAGTCACACATGAGTGTCCAAGTACTCTCAGTTACACAAGGTACCCAGAACTTGCCACATGGAGGCGGCTGCTCTTCAAGTTCCTTTTTTTTTTCCATATGTGGAACAAATAATAAACAAAAGAAATCCGAGCTCAACCAAATTTGGCAATATGTAACAAATAATAAACAAGAGAAATCCGAGCTCAACCAAATTTGGCAATATGTAACAAATAATAAACAAAAGAAATCCAAACTCAACCAAATTTGGCAGTGAAGAGTTTAATGATTTTTTTGTGTTGTTCGGAGGTACGTCTTCAGGCCAGGTCTCTCCTTTGGGTCCCGGCTTAGGCCTTTCAGGGCCATGGTCATCAGCTGGTGGGGCTTACGATCCATTATTCCAATAACCTGTTTGATGAGCAGGGCGACTCCCACCACATCACTTTTTGTTGTGACAGGCTGGCCCATAACAGCTTCATAACAGGTCCATGGGCTGAACTCCAAAAACTTGTCGATGTGGTTCTTTTCATAGTCACCATAAACCCAAGGTTGGCCTGGGCGGGTTGAAAGTCCAAAATCAATTATAGAGGTTTTTGGACATTTTGGGTCGGTTCTGTCTACCATTACATTGTTTTGTTTAAGGTCCAGATGGACAATGCATTTTTTGTGGATGTTAATCAAATTCTTGATGATGCTTTCAATGGCTTTTAGCCAAAACAAATCATCTAATTTTTCCTTACCTATCTCCTGGTTGTGGCTGAGTGTTTCAAGGTCCTCCAATCCCAAAAAAGACATAAAGTAACAACCTATCTCAGGAGACAGACCCAGAAGTCTGGGAGCTCCACCTGCACCATTGAGTTTCTCCAAGATCTGGGCCTCACGCAGACAATCCGTTTCTCGGGTATTAGGATCGAAGATGTTTTTGAGGACCACTGGTGTGTCGTGTCCTGGAAGATTCCAGAGCTGGGTCTTACCACACCCTTCATAACCAGAGGGGTTGTTGAGGTGATTTGGTCATTTAGAGAGAATGGATCAAAATAGAATGACATGGAGAGCATATAAATCTGTAGGGGAAGGATGGCGGGGTAGAGATCGTCTTCGAAAAGGTTGGAGGGAGGGGGTAAAGGAGGTTTTGTGGGCAAGGGGCTTGGACTTCCAGCATGCGTGCGTGAGCATGTTAGATAGGAGTGAATGAAGACGAATGGTATTTGGGACCTGATGAGCTGTTGGAGTGTGAGCAGGGTAATATTTAGTGAAGGGATTCAGGGAAACTGGTTATTTTTATATAGCCGGACTTGAGCACTGGAAATGGGAAGTACAATGCCTGCACTTCAAAGGAGGGGTTTGGGATATTGGCAGTTTGGAGGGATATGTTGTGTATCTTTATACGTATATGCTTCTAAACTGTTGTATTCTGAGCACCTCTGCAAAAACAGTGATTATGTGTGAGTGAGGTGAAAGTGTTGAATGATGAAAGTATTTTCTTTTTGGGGATTTTCTTTCTTTTTGGGTCACCCTGCCTCGGTGGGAGACAGCCGACTTGTTAAGAAAAAAAAAAAAAAGAATTCACCTGCCAAAATGATAGTAATCTACAATATAAGGGCTCCGGGTGGCATCATTTGACAGCCCACTGTCAAATATTTAATTTTTCCTTATTAATAACTTCATTATAGATGCAGTGATGATATTCTAGTATGAATTTCCTCTTCAGAGTCATACTAACACACATTTTATGGTAATTTAATATAAATTGATAAATTTACATTGCTGTATATATTGTGTATACACTTTGCTCTTCTATAGACACAGTTTGGAGTTTTCTTAATACAAAAAAGATAAAATATACAGTGGACCCCCGGTTAATGATATTTTTTCATTCCAGAAGTATGTTCAGGTGCCAGTACTGACCGAATTTGTTCCCATAAGGAATATTGTGAAGTAGATTAGTCCATTTCAGACCCCCAAACATACACGTACAAACGCACTTACATAAATACACTTCCATAATTGGTCGCATTGGGAGGTGATCTTTAAGCGGGGGTCCACTGTACGACATTTATCCGGTGTGGGCCAGATCGGCCACATCCAGGTCATCTGCACCAGTTTATTGTTTGTGCTCACTCACACATTTACTTGTCATTCAATCTCTAATTTTCCTTGAAATTAGAGACTTTTGTGTGATTTTGTTAACATATTAAGTAAAGTGCAATTATCAGCGACTTCTAAACAAGTGGCGGTGCCAAGGGAAAATGTGTGGTTCTCAGTGTCAAGCAGAAGCTTGAACTAATGAAGAAGGTTGAGTCTGGCATCTCAGTGGCACAGGTATGTGAGGAATATGGTGTTAAGAAGCAGTGTCTGATATCCGTAGAAGCAAGGATGAACTAAGACCGTGCTCTTAAGCTTAGTGTAGATGCTAATGGAGCTTTATAGCTTCTCTGACTCACAGTAAAAGTTATTCTGAGTCACAACTATCAATCGCAGCTGTGTGCACCTCATCTCTCCCTCAAGACAAGGTAAGTAAAATTAAATTATGCACAGTACAGCCTCTCCTCATTTAGCAGCGTACTCGTTTATCGATGCCTCGGTCTTATGACGGGCTGTCTGCCCAGTCTTATGATGGGCTGTCTGACCGGTCATATGACGGGCTGTATGAGCAGTCGCTTAGTCGATTTTTTGCTTCTGGATATGAGCAAAATTTCAGGATGTATTGCTCTATCTAGGGAATTGGATCTGTGTGCCAGTTAAGTAAGTAAGTAAGTAAATTTATTCAGGTATACACAAATACAGTTACATAGAATTATCATACATAGCAGCATATGTGTAGAGAACCTAGGATAACCCAAAAAAGTCAGACAGAGTGACTTATTTCCATTGGGGTCCTTTTACCTTATTATTATAATATAAAGGTTATAATATTTTCTTATTATTCTACAATGAAGATAACATCTTATTATCATACTAAAAAGACTACATACTACACGAGGGTCATTAAGACTATCTACAATACGAGGGTCATTACTAGGGATAAGGTAAAATTTACACGTATTTTAGCTAAAAAATAGAAAATCATTCCCCTCCCTTTCTGTAGCTTCATTCATCAGACACTTTTTGGCAGTCTTCTTGAACTGGTTCATGCTATGACTGGCTTTGGCATGTGCGGGTAGTCTGTTCCATTCCTTTATTGCTGTACAATAAAAGGTGTTTGACGCCTGGCCACTGACTGTGGGTACTACAAAGTTGTGCTCTCTCCCCCTAGTACTATGATTGCTTTGGTTCCCAACCTTGACAAAATTGACAGCAAGATATTCTGGACACTGTTTGTGAGCAATTTTATAAACATGATTTAGCTTCAGTTGTTTTACTCTGTCTTCAACATTCAGCATATCCAACTGCTATAATTCATCCTGGCCTACATGTTCTCTTGGTCCCAGCCCCAGGATGAATCTTACGATTTTGTTCTGGGTGATTTGCAGTCTATCTTTCAGTTTTTTTGTCAAGGCAGAGTACCATGAAGAGCAAGCATAATCCATATGGCATTGTATAAGGGCTAGACATAGGGTCCTGCGAGCCTCAGTAGGTAGACACTGTGCTTGTCTATACAGGAACTTCAGTCTGGCATTCGCTTTCTTTACTACACTGTTCCCTATCAATTCTCCTGACATGCATGGGTCAAAGGGGATTCCCAGATATTTTACTGATGAAACCAAAGTGATGGACTCCCCATTACACTGAACATTAAAATTATTTACCCTTCTCAGTTTATGTTTCGTTCCAAAGAGAATGGCTTCAGTTTTCCCTAGTGTAATGATAGTTTGTTGTCTACTAAGCATTTGCTGCAGGACTCCAGTTCCAGTGTTAAAACATTAGCAATATCTTGTGGGTCTTTACCTGTCACTAACAGAGCACTGTCATCTGCATACAGTAGGAGTTTGCAATTGACACTGATAGGCATATCATTGACATAACATAAGAATAGTAAGGGACCCAGAATAATACCTTGGGGAACTCTACATGTTATCGGCAGGGGTTCTGATTCCGTTTTGTTGATTTTGACTATTTGTCTCCTGTTGCTAAGGTAGGACTTAAACCAGTCTACAGAACCTATACCGATAGCTTGAAGTTTCTTACATAATATATTGTGGTTGACAGTATCGAAGGCCTTTTGCAGGTCTAAGGTTACCATACCTATGAGGTTCCCTTTTGACATTTCAGTTCTCAGGTAATCCATCAGATTAATAAGGGAGGTATCGGTTGAGTAGGATCTTCTAAAGCCCGATTGATAGCTATGGAGAATGCTGTTGTCATTAAGGTACTTAACTACTTGAGAATACACTGCCCTCTCCAGAATTTTAGATATTATACTGAGTATACTAACAGGTCTATAGTTGCTTACATCAGACCTATTATTTTTCTTGAAGATAGGAGTAACTCTGGCCTCCTTGAACCCCTCCGGTACGGTATTAATGGTGATTGATAGATTTATTATGTGAGCAATAGGGATTGACAGTTCAGAAGCACCATCTTTTAGGAACTTAGACGGGATGTTATCAGGGCCTGTGCTCTTAGTTGGGTTTAACCTGCTTAGTTCTTTTTGAATGAAGTCATGAGATACACTTACTAGTTGACAACTGTTTGGGGTTACCCCTTTATTGGTATAGTATGTTTGAAACTTATCAGAGTCTGTGTTAAAAGGTATTTGATGCAGCTGGTAGTTTACTTACTAGTGTTGATGCAACAGATGTGTAGTAGGAATTAAAGCAATTTGCCACCTTAGATGTTTCGTGGCATACCTCATTATCGATAGTGAGTACTATGTTAGACCTATCTACTGGCTTATGGCTATACCCCAACTGTTTTAGTTGTTGCCAGAGCTTTCTGGGGTTATGCTTATACTCTTCAATTTTTGAGCAATAGTGCTTTGCCTTTGCTCCTTTTATAAGCCTCTGTACTCTGTTCCTCACCCTTTGGAATTCATTTAGTGCTGCAATATCCTGTCTGTTTGCTTTAAATCTTTTTAGCAGCTGGTCTCTGAATTTCATATTATCTAATATCTCAGTAGTCATCCAGGGTTCAGTTCTTCGTTTAATCCTAACCTCTTTAACCCTTTATGGTGGCCCGGTGGTCTGGTGGCTAAAGCTCCCGCTTCACACACGGAGGGCCCGGGTTCGATTCCCGGCGGGTGGAAATTCCGACACGTTTCCTTACACCTATTGTCCTGTTCACCTAGCAGCAAATAGGTACCTGGGTGTTAGTCGACTGGTGTGGGTCGCATCCTGGGGGACAAGATTAAGGACCCCAATGGAAATAAGTTAGACAGTCCTCGATGACGCACTGACTTTCTTGGGTTATCCTGGGTGGCTAACCCTCCGGGGTTAAAAATCCGAACGAAATCTTATCTTATCTTATCTTAACTGGTGCAATATTATTAAGAATGGTAGTGAACATTGTTTTGAATTTTTCCCAGGCATCGTTTACGTCCGTGCAACTTGTTATCTCTGTCCAGTCACAGTTGTGTAGCCTATTTACCAGTGTTTCTTTACTGTAGTTTCTAGTTGACCTCATTTTTATTGTCCTGTGTAGGCCTATCCTATCCCTAGTGATTTTCCTGGTGCAGTAAATGATGAAATGATCACTAAGACCTGTGGTAATGATGCCTGACTGACTAATGTTCTCAGCGCGGTTGCAAAGTATGTGGTCAATTAGGGTGGCTGAGAACTGTGTGATCCGGGTTGGTTTATTAATTAGTTGGGTGTAGCTATTTAATCCTAGAATTTGCTTATACCTTTTGCATAGCCCGTTATTTTGTTGCTGAAAACAGATATTGAAGTCGCCCAGTATTATTGTTTCGCAATTGCTTTCAACTCCGGACAAGACTCTGGAAAAGTCTTCTAAGAACTGGTCCTGGGTAGGAGGGCGGTAACTAGTTCCTACTAAGATGGGTTTGGTCTTGGGAAGCAGCACTTCAAACCATAGAATCTCCAGTTTATTGTTATTTAAATCAGGTCTTGGGTTGTAAGCTAAGTCATTTCTAATGTAGGCACATACTCCACCACCCTTTCTGTTCCTATCTAAGCGTTTTATATTGTAACCTTCTAATTTGACCTCATCGTCAGTCACCGTATCATCCAACCAAGATTCAGAGATGGTTATAACTGCCGCCCTAATTTTGTTAGCTAGAATCCTAATCTCTGCCAATTTAGGAAGAAGTGATCTTGCATTGACATGAATAAAGTGAAGGCCTGTTTTCATAAAACAATCATGATCATCAATATATGGCAATGGGTCATTTGTATTAAAATTAGGTAAATCAATGTCGTCACTGCTAAAGGGTAACTGTGCCAAAGTGCATTTGTTACACACAAAATGAATTCTGGCACCGTTGCTATAATTGTACATACATCCATCATGCACCCACCCCTTACACATTTTACATAAGGTGCCTTTTCTGTTTTTCATGCGTACTTTAGTACAGTGTATGCATCTGTTTGGTAGTGTTTGAGATAATAATGGCTGTATTGTCTCACATTGACCTATGTATGCATTACATATGGAGTTAAGGTTATCATCCCTAGCTACTAGACCGTCATTATCGCCGTCATTTATCTGTCTGTTTTGCCTCTGCACAATAGTTTGAGGTCCTGGATTAATTTGGATATCACCACTTAAGAGCGCTACAATAAGAGCTGTGTGCCACTGTTTTTGTTTGGGTATGCGGTGTTGCCATACCTTGCGGCGATAGTGAGGTTTACTTTTCTGGTAGGATGGCAACTGTTGGGCTTTTACTGTCCAGGGCGCTGTTACTCCATTCACCTTTTCCAACCCCCATGACTGATTTCTTTCTTCATGGAATTGAAGAAGAAATATAAATATAATTATGGCAGCCTGTACCCCTCTAATGCCTGCCATTTTCACTCTTCGCTCTTTTACTCATATACAATAATATTTATTTCTCTTTTCCAGTCCCTAGTACACTTAGTATCTGCTTTAGCAATCACACTGAATTACTAGTAAAATTTCCTCTTCAAAACCCTCTTCACTGCTCACTTTTCCCTTAACTTCACAAAACCCTTATAGTTAACCTCTTCAAAACCCTCTTCACTGCTCACTTTTCCCTTAACTTCACAAAACCCTTACAGTTAACCCCTTATTACACACTCCCCTACCCATCTAACTTCACAGTCTGTCTTCACCAATTAACTTCTAACTCCTTTCCATTCTGGTAGACCAGAAAGGTTTAATCAATGGTTTTATCCTTCCAAATCCCCCTCAATTCCATTTATCGGGGGTTGTGTCGTGTTGTTGTCTCCTGACCTGGTCTGCTGACTCAGCCATTTTTAAAACACTGAGGGGAGTAACGCCACCTGACTTTCCTTGAGTTTATAGATATATTTGGCTTTTTCTGCTATGATTCTCTCACTGTACACTGGTCAGCTGAATATAGGTCAGCTACTAAAACATTAACCTTGACTATTTAACTATTCACTTCTTTCCCACGACTGGCACTGAGGGATAACCGTCCTATACCTTGGAGTTTTGTACTGTTGATTTGACGATGTTTCCTGTGTTTCCCTCTCGTTAGCACTGGTACAGGTGATATGATGGTGGTACAGATATGATGCTACTGTCAACAGATGAACATCAGCAAAGATGAGAATTTCACTTCGCTAGTTGTACGTCTGGCAGTAGCTGCTGTTTGAATGCCGGTCAGCCATGTTTAAAGGCTCAAATCTTTCCCTCGTTTGGCACTGACGAAAAAAGTCCTACAGACCTGTCATTTCCTTGGAGATTTAGTTGATCAGGTTTTCTGCCATGTTGTCTTCCCGTTAAACACTGGTGCAGTTGATATGGAGGTCAGTTATTTCATTTAGTGGAAAACGTCTCGTGTCTGGTTCACGTCTGGCAGCAGGTCTGGTACTTGAATGCCGGTCCCTCTTCTGTCATATTTAGTCCATTTCGTTGTCGTCACCGTCAGTTTTTATGTCACTATAGTTTACTTGCATGTTGTTGCAGCAGTACTTGCAAATTTGGCCATCACTGGAGTTCGGATAGGCCCAGGGGACGGCAAGATATAGGAGCAGCCTTGTTGCTGCTTGCTGCGGCTGCAGCTGCAGCAAATCTCCCTAAATTAATAATAATAATAATAATATCCTAGGTAGTAGGTTGGTAGACAGCAACCGCCCAGGGAGGTACTACCGTCCTGCCAAGTGAGTGTAAAACGAAAGCCTGTAATTGTTTTACATGATGGTAGGACTGCTGGTGTCCACTTTTCTGTCTCATGAACATGCAAGGTTTCAGATATATCTTGCTACTTCTACTTACACTTAGGTCACGCTACACATACATGTACAAGCATATATATACACACCCCTCTGGGTTTTCTTCTATTTTCTTACTAGTTCTTGTTCTTGTTTATTTCCTCTTATCTCCATGGGGAGGTGGAACAGAATTCTTCCTCCGTAAGCCATGCGTGTTGTAAGAGGCGACTAAAATGCCAGGAGCAAGGGGCTAGTAACCCCTTCTCCTGTATAAATTACTAAATTTAAAAAGAGAAACTTTCATTTTTATTTTTGGGCCACCCTGCCTTAGTGGGATGCAGCTGGTTTGTTGAAAAAAAAAAAAATATTATACATGTTTATAGAGAGGGAACTGATATATTGGATCATTATTTAGTCATGGCTACAGTTAGAGTAAGAGGTAGATGGGACAAGGGGAAAATGGCAACAGCAAGTAAGAGAGAGGTGAAAGTGTATAAACTATGGGAGGGGGAAGTTAGGGTGAGATATAAGCAACTATTGGCAGAAAGGTGGGCTAGTGCAAGTGTGAGTAGTAGGGGGGGTTGAAGAGGGTTGGAATAGTTTTAAAAATGCAGTATTAAAATGTGGGGCAGAAGTTTGTGGTTATAGGAGGGTGGGTGCAGGAGGAAAGAGGAGTGATTGGTGGAATGATGAAGTAAAGGGTGTGATAAAAGAGAAAAAGGTAGCTTATGAGAGGTTGTTACAAAGCAGAAGTGTTGTAAGAAGAGCAGTAAAAGAGTAAAAGAAAGGTGAAGAGTGGTGAGAGAGTGCAAAAGGAGAGCAGGTGATAGAGTGGGAGAGGCACTGTCAAGAAATTTTGATGAAAATAAAAGAAAAAATTGGAGTGAGATAAACAAGTTAAGAAAGCCTAGGTAACAAATGGATTTGTCAGTTAAAAGCAGAGTAGAGGAGTTAGTAGATTGGGAGCTGGAGGTATTGGGTAGATGGTGGGAATATTTTGAGGAACTTTTAAATATCGATGAAGTAAGGGAGGCGGTAATTTCATGCACTGGTCAGGGAGGTATACCATCTTTTAGGAGTGAAGAAGAGCAGAATGTAAGTGTGATGTTAAATGAACATTTAACATCACACTTACTTTACTGTAAAGACTTGTTGGTGTATGGCAGACTGGGTGGAGGGGAGAGGGAGGCTGGTTTATTGTCGGAGAATGTTACACTAATATCAACTCTACGGCTTATTTATCTATCACAATTCAACTAATATGACATAATAAACAATATTAATAACATAGAAACATGACATATACTCTAGAGTGAATAAAATAACTCATTTTGTATGTCATGAGAGGTGTTCTGTTGTTGTTGTTGGGTGTATAAGGGCCACTGTGAGCATAAGCCATACATAATGTTGGTGAAGGCTGCAGCTGAGGCAGTGGTGTTTTTTGTATCCCTATATAACTGAAACAACATTGGAGGAGTTAGTATTATCATTAAATCACTGAAGAAGGGACCCTCTACTAGCATCACAACCACTACCACTCTCCACCACCATCACAACCACTACTTCCCTACCACCATCACTACCACCCTCTACCACCACCACTTTTGTATTATTCTACAACTTTTTCTTGAATTATATAGTGTTTCTCACATTCTTTACAAAGGGCTGGCACTATAAGCTTTCTTTGGGCTCATGGTGGCTTATTTAGCAGTCAAACACAATAAACAAGTGGCAAAAACAATGGATTATCACAAAATGTTTCGTATAACCTGGCAGGATATGTTCACTCACCAAAAAACAATGCTGCACTGGCTGAGAATGCGTGTGGGAGGCGGCTTTGGCTGTGCGCTGGGCACTGGATAGGTTCTGTACAATCGATGAAAATGGAGGTAATCAATAAAAACTGGAACCAAAAAATTGACGAAAAAGTCAGCCAAAATCGAAATCGGTGATAACGGAGATTGACGAAAACGGAGGGTCCACTGTACTATATCTTGTATCTGCCAAGCAGTTATGACACCCAGTAGACATACCAGTGTTGCTGAAAGTGGCAAGAAAAGGTATAAGCATTTAAGTCTTAGAATTAATGAAGAAAAAGATATTAGACAAGAGATAACTTGTGGCCTTAATGAAGTGTTACTTTGTACACGTAAAAAGAGGTAAACATAAGTTTGTGTGACTGACTGACTGACTGACTGACTTACTGACTGACTTCCTTACCTATTGCTGAATAACTTACTGACTTGGCTGAATAACTTACTGACTTGACTGAATGACTTACTGACTTGACTGAATGACTTGCTTGACTTGACTGAATAACTTACTTGACTTACTGACTGAATAACTTGACTGACTGACTGACTGAATGGCTTAAAGTTAGACACTCCAGTACAACCATTGACTTCAGTACGAGAACCTCTACCATCCACCTCAGCCCAGTAGGACCACAACATAACTCTCCACTCTCTTCACAATCATCCACAAACACCAGCACCCACAATTTAAGGTAAGAAATACTATTATTTCTGTTACATTTGTAGTCTTAAGCAGTAAAACCAACATAATACATCACAACAATGAACTACAATTACATATTCACTTATATTTTTGTAAGATGTGGAGGCCTAAAAAAAAGTTGTTTGGCTTTTTTGGGGCTCTCAGGAACATAATCCTATTTTTCCCATAAGTTCTTCAGTTCATATAACACGGTTTTTACCTAACACTGCATTTTCAGGAACATAACTTGTGTTAAATGACGGTCTACTGTATAATAATATGCACGTACTACATATAATAAGTTAGTATGAGAACCCCATCACAAGATGGCAGTGCGTATAAAACAATTCTCGCCAGTCCAGGTGTGCTTATGGAGCTACCCTCATGGTGGAAGGAATTCTCGTGTTTTCCTTACGTTTTGTGTAGCTATTTTGCGAAATTTCTTGTTTCTAACCATGGGTCGTGAGGAAGCAAGTCCAAAGGACAGTGCTGAGAAGAAAAAGAGGATGATTATCATGGATTTAAAGCAGCAAATCATAAACACAGACTAGGTGCGAGGGTTAAGGACCTGGCCAGGCAGGACCAGATATGTACAATACTAAAGCAGAAGGAGTCTATAAAGGCTACAGTGCCAGCAAAGGGCATTACAGTAATTTCTAAGCAATGGACCTCTCTCCTTGAAAAGATGGAGAAGCTACTGCTGACATGATAGAAAGAGGACGAAACAAAATGAACTGACAGCATACACCGCTGTGCCCAGCATCTCTTATCCATCATCAGCCTCTGCCAGCATCTCTTCTCCACCATCAACCACCAACATTTCTTCTCCAAGGTAAATGCTGTTGTACATACTACATAATTTCTTTACATTATTTTCCTTATGAAACTACGTAGTGATCTAATGCAGTTTGCTTCACAAGCACTCCGTTTTCTGTTATAATAAGAGCATGGGAAGGTATGTAGTCAGGAGCAGGAATGGCTGCCATGGTGGCCCTGTAGACCCCAACAACAATAATGGCCGCTGTGCCGCCGCCACCACCACCACCACCACCACCACTAGCCACATACCTAATGACATAGTATTTTATTCATTCTAGTGTATATACAGTGGACCCCCCCATAGCGATATTAATCCGTGCAAGAGAGTTCATTGTTATGCGAAATTATCGTTATGCGAATGAATTTTCCCCATAAGAAGTAATGGAAATCAAATTAATCTGTGCAAGACACCCAAAAGTATGAAAAAAAAAATTTACCACATGAAATATACATTTTCCTACACACAAAGAGAAGGATACATGCACAATAGTAGAGTAGTACATGCACAATATATATTGTGCATGTACTACTCTACTAAATGAAGAATAAATGACACTTACCTTTATTGAAGATGCAGCAATGACTGATGAGACACTGTGTCCTGGGAGTGCCTTTTCCTCCTGAGTACTGTAGGTCCTGTTTGGCATTTTCTTCCAGAACAGGCCTTATCACACTGTGTATGCCACTACGATTCTTAAATCTCTCAAACCAACCTTTGCTGGCTTTAAATTCACTAATATGAGCACTAGTTCCAGGCAATTTTCCCTGTTCACCTGGGTGTTAGTCGACTGGTGTGGGTTGCATCCTGGGAGAGAAGATTAAGGACCCCAATGGAAATAAGTTAGACAGTCTTCGATGACACTGACTTTTTTGGGTTATCCTGGGTGGCAAATCCTCTGGGGTTAATTGTTTCTTGGTATTCTCAATAAGCCACACCAACAACGGTGCTACAGCAGCGCAGCAGCAGCAGCAGCAGCTGACAGTGCTACAGCAGCAGCAGACGATGCTACAGCAGCAGCAGACGGTACTACAGCAGCAGCAGCAGCAGCTGACGGTGGTACAGCAGCAGCAGCAGCTGACAGTGCTACAGCAGCAGCAGCAGCTGACAGTGCTACAGCAGCAGCAGACGATGCTACAGCAGCAGCAGACGGTACTACAGCAGCAGCAGCAGCTGACGGTGGTACAGCAGCAGCAGCAGCAGCTGACAGTGCTACAGCAGCAGCAGACGATGCTACAGCAGCAGCAGATGATGCTACAGCAGCAGCAGACGGTACTACAGCAGCAGCAGACGGTACTACAGCAGCAGCAGCAGCAGCTGACGGTGGTACAACAGCAGCAGCAGCTGACGGTGCTACAGCAGCAGCAGCAGCTGACAGTGCAGCAGCAGCAGCAGCTGATGGTGGTACAGCAGCAGCAGCAGCTGTACCACCAATAGTAGCGATGGTTGATTGGGGTTTATTATACAACCTGGCCAGCTCGGAGACACGCACTCCACTTTCATACTTATCAATGATCTTTTTCTTCATCTCTATAGTAATTCTCACCCTTATTGCTGTAGGGTTGGCACTAGAAGCTTTCTTGGGGCCCATGGTCACTTATTTTGCAGATAAAATCACCAAAAACACTGTAATAATACGAAATGTTCCGATTGTATGCTTGGATGTTACCGCGGAGGCTGGCTGGTAAACAATGCCACCGGCGGAACATGTGAGCGTGACTCAGGCCGCACATAGACGCGTCTCGGACGAACAGCGTTGAGCGGGTTTTTTAGCGGTATGCGAGGCAAAATCTTAGTGATAAAATGTAGCGGTATGCGGATTTAACGTTATGTAAGGCCAACGGTATGCGGGGGTCCACTGTATCATGTTTCTATGTTATTAATATTGTTTATGTCATATTAGATGAATTATGATTAGATAAATAAGCCTTAGAGTTGATATTAGCGAAATATTGAAGTATTTTTTCATGCCTGGAATTCCACTGGAACGGATTAGTGCCATTTCAGTTAATTTAAATGAGGAAAATTGACTCAACATACAAGCAAATCGGGATACGAGCAAGGTCATGGAACAGATTAAACTCGTAAGCCGAGGTTCCACCATAGTACTTACATTTTTAATGTCCTGTTCTTCTTTTGAATTAGTGGACCAATCTGCTAGTTCAGACGACAACTGTACGATCACAAAAAATTAATTTAATAATTCAGAAATTTCGAACAATCATCAGTATCGTACATCCCCTTCCTCCTTATTAGTCCATTGATGAGAGGGTTCACTATATGGTGATATTGGTATATGATCTGCCATCAAAACATCTGGGTCATTAACACTTGATGCTTATACCAGATAGATTGCAATTTTTTTTTATTAGCACATCAGCCATTACCCACCAAGGCAGGGTGACACGAAAAAGAAAAACTTTCATCATCATTCGCTCCATCACTGTCTTGCCAGAGGCATGCCTACACTACAGTTATAAAACTGCAATATTAACACCCCTCCTTCAGAGTGCAGACACTGTACTTCCCATCTCAACGACTCAAGTCCAGCCTGCCAGTTTCCCTGAATCCCTTCATAAATGTTACCTTGCTTACACTCCAACAGCACGTCAAGTCCTAAAAATCATTTGTCTCCATTTGTTCCTGTCTAATACGCTCACGCACTCTCTGGAAGTCCAAGCCCCTTGCACACAAAACCTTCTTTACCCCCTCCCTCCAACCTTTCCTAGGCCGACACCTATCCTGCCTTCCCTCCACTACAGATTTGTATACTCTCGAAGTTATTCTATTTCGTTCCATCCTATCTACATATCCAAACCAACTCAATAACCCCTCCTCAGCCCTCTGGATAATAGTTTTGGTAATCCCACACCTCCTAATCTCCAAACTACGGATTCTCTGCATTATATTCACACCATACATTGCCCTGAGACATGACATCTCCACTGCCTCCAGCCTTCTCCTCACTGCAGCATTCACAACCCATGCCTCACACCCATTTTCTTTATGTACTGTATTTTTATTTCTACAATCAGGGTGTTGCTAATCCAGTTCCTAGAGTGGCACATCCTGTGTGGCTGCACAAGAAGGTACTCGAGAGGAATGATACCTTCAAGCAGCGTCGTATCACAGACATGTTCTCTGCTGCCCCAAAACCTAAACCTCAGAGAAGGTTACAGACTGTGGAGGATGAGGTAAGACCCAGTCCAGTGTTAATATTTGTTCTGTGTTTTGTCTGGTTTTACATTCATAGGATTTGTAGATCTTAATTTTGTTATTTTATCTCTTGCTTTGATATTCCATTTAGTTATTTAGCATGTCACATTTCTTTGTTCTCAAATTCCTTATTTTCTACTTGATTTGGATCTCTTATAGTTCTTTTGTAATTTTATTTAGCTGCATTACTAATGTTGCTTGTTTGCTTATTTAGCTTGCATATTATTTCTTCCTGCCTCACATGATTTATTTCAATTCTTGGAAGATTTGCATACAGCTTAGCTTGCATAACCTGTGAAGTCTGTTACATTTATGTGATGTGTTTCCTATAGTTGAGCTCCAGCTCTTAATCCTTGTCTTTTAATCGTCAAATGTCTGATGTGATAATTCAAAATTCTTTTGTACTCTCCTAAGACATTTCACTTCCTTGCATAAAAATAAATTTCTTTATATGTTCTTCTGACTGATTTAGTTCTCCAGTTTCAAGTTGTATCCCCTCGGTTCATTCCCTTTCATGTCAAACATTCTGTTCATGTATCTTTGTTGTATTATTGTACACACAGAACAAGTGGTATTGATCAATAACAACATTGCACTAGCCAAGGAGTCAAACCCATGCTGTTTTGGCTCGCCTCATGGTGAGAGAAAACGCATGATGCTTTAGACCACTAGACCACAATCCTTAACAATGGTGCATCCAGCCAAGCTAGATGTTGTACCCACCATTGAAGGACATACGTTGGTGTGGACGCCTCTGAGCTAATTTCATTCTACTCCCTGTTTGTGCACTAGCTCAACATGCAGCATATTATATTATTGTACCCACGGAACAAGTGGTATTGATCAATAACAGCACTGCACTAGCCAAGGAGTCGAACCCATGCTGTTTTGGCCCGCCTCATGGTGAGAGAAAACGCATGACGCTTTAGACCACTAGACCACACAATCCTTAACAATGGTGGTCTAGTGGTCTAAATGTCATGCATTTTCTCTTACCATGAGATGGGCCAAAACAGCATGGGTTCGACTCCTTGGCTAGTGTAGGCTGGTTCGACTCCTTGGCTAGTGCAGTGTTGTTATTCTTTGTTGTGTTGATCTCTTGAGTCTTTCACTGATCATGTCTTTCTGGGTCTTTTTTCTAGCAGTTGAGGCTTTTTCTTTATCTTAGCTTAATTTCCAGCTCTTAATTTTGGGATCAGTCTTGTGGCAAACTCCTGGATTTCTTAAATTTCCTTGTGTGTATTAATATTTAAAACAGGTTCTGGTGTTTTTGTGTTTACAAGACACTCAAGAGATACTTGTTGTTTGTTTAATTTCTGACTAAATGTAGTTAGTTTTAATTGGTGTGTCATTGCATCCAGGTAACAACGGTACAATTTCCACCCGAAGTTGACCTACTTAACCTATGTGCGGCTTTGACACTATCCTTACTCATGTTATAGATAGAGAATATTAGTTTCTATAGTATTGCATCAATGGGATCCTTACCATTATCTGAGGGTTGATAGACATTTATTGCTATACACAAAAAAACCTGCACATAGAAGAGAGGAGCTTATGACGACGTTTCTGTCCGACTTGGACCATTTACAAAGTCACACTAATGAAAAGGAGAGGAGGGGTATATATAGGCAGGAGGTGGTAGTGGTAGTAGTAGTAGTAGTAGTGGAGGTAGATGGTAGTAGTAGTGGGGAAGGTAGTAAGGAGGAGGAGGAGCCAGTCAAATACTAAGAAAGAGGAGCACTGCAAGGGAGCTAGGTACCCACAGAGGGTAAGAGCAAGAGCACAGAGGGGGAAAAAATAAATGAATAAATAAATAAATAAAGAAGGAACAGATATACAAGGCAGAAGAAGACAACCCAAAGAAGAAAAAAGGAAAGAGGAAAGGGGAAGAGGGAGAAGAAGAAAGAGGTTAAGTCAGGTTAAGTCACGGGTGCTCTGAAGTTTGGAACATTTTACAATGTAGTGGGAAAGGAAGGCATCTACAGAGATGAAGCCAGGTCTAAGATTCACACAAGGAAAGTTGTGTATTAGGGAGGATTCAACCAGACAGCGACTGTTGAAGTAGGGAAGACAGTTTTTAGCAGAAGACCAGTCAACAGGATGGCTGTGATCTCTGACGTGACTGAAAAGAGCATTGTTAGTGCTCCCTAAGTCTGCCAGAAAGAGATTGGCCAGTTTCTCCAAAGTATTGAAGAGGACAGGAGGAACAAGAAATAGAGACACCTGGTGTATATTTCTTGTTCCCCCTGTCCTCTTCAATACTTTGGAGAAACTGACAGACTTAGGGAGCACAAAGGTAGTGTTAGGCTTGCCGACACTAACAATGCTCTTTTCTGTCACGTCAGAGATCACAGCCATCCTATTGACTGGTCTTCTGCTAAAACTGTCTTCCATACTTCCAGCTTCAACAGTCGCTGTCTGGTTGAATCCTCCCTAATACACAACTTTCCTTGTATGAATCTTAGTCCTGACTTCATCTCTGTAGATGCCTTCCTTTCTCACTACATTGTAAAATGTTCCAAACTTCAGAACACCCAAGACTTAACCTGATTCCTCCTCTTTCTTCTTCTCCCCCTTCTCCTTTCCTCTTTCCTTTTTTCTCCTTTGGATTGTCTTTCTTCTGCCTTGTGTTTTTGTTCCTTCTTTGTTTATTTATTTATTTATTTATTTATTTATTTATTTATTTATTTATTTATTTTTTCCTCTCTCTGTGTTCTTGCTCTTACCCTCTGTGGGTACCTAGTTCACTTGCAGTGCTCCTCTTTCTTAATATTTGACTGGCTCCTTCTCCTTCTTACTACCTTCCCCACTACTACTACCTTCTACCTCCACTACTACCACCTCCTGCCTATATATGCCCCTCCTTCTCTCCCTTTCGTTAGTGTGACTTTGTAAATGGTCCAAGTCGGACCGAAACGTCGTCGTAAGCTCCTCTCTTCTACGTGCGGGTTTTTTATGTATCGTTCCAGTCACAGTATTGTGCCTTTTTTTGTTATTTATTGTTATAGCTGAGTCAAACTCACTGAGGGATTCACTCTTGTGTTTGGAAAGTTCTCATGCAGAGTAGCAATTTATTCTGTAATTTTAAAGCAAGTCTTATTTCCTTGCTTGGACTTAATAACTCTGCTACTTGTTTTCAGTTCTTTTTTTCCCTTAGCATGTTTTATCATCATATCCTGGGTCTAAATGAAACTTTTAAGTTCTTCAGCTCTTGCTACATGGCACAAAATAGCTTCATTGAAGAATTTTCATTCCTGTGTTATCCTAGGTTCAGTCTGCTTACTGTTCTTTTAGGCACCTATAATTTATCATCTGTGTGCCCTCAAAACCATTGTTAAAAGTTTGTATGTTTTGTATGCTAATCTTGCATAAAGCTTACTTAACTACTTACTCAGATTGTTGACCTGTGTGCTTGTCAAGTACTTCAAAGCTTTGACTAGGGTGTCAGTATCTGGATTTGTGGTAACCATAGTGCTGTTGGCCAGATTTGCTGACATTAGCAGCTGGTGAAGAGCCCTTCCGTGAGTCTCATTGTACTTGGTGCTTGGTGATTTTTGCACAGGTGTTAAACTTAGTAGATGTTTTTGCATTATTTTTATAATACTGTATTATTGCATGGTTTTCCTGTAAGAGTTAATGATTTTTGTATACCTAGGAATGGGCACATTGTTTCAGGCAGGGAAGCATGTTATTTTTTTTCATCCTTGTCTGGTGATTAACCCCTAAACGGTCCAAACGTATATATACGTTCTCTTGCCCAGCGCCCCGAATATTTTGAAAAAAAAAAAAATAGTTTGATTTTATAGAAAGAAAGGGCACATTTTAAGTGGTTTAGAATAAAAAAAAAATTAGAGTCGGTACTTACCGAGATATGAGGCTGCGAAGTTGGCACTTGGCGATCACCTGACGGCAACATGAAACGCTGCCGCTTGCAGAAATTCTACATATTTACCGTTTTCTTCCATTTTTTTAATTTTCTTGGTTTTCATGATATGATAATTATGTTTTATAGCAAATCTTTTGATTTCAATGCCAATTGTTGTCTATACACCAATATTATATACGAAATCATCATCATATTGTCATAAACACACGTGTACACACTGACAGGTGATTTTGCATACCTGGCTGAATCACATTCTATTATCTACAACTATATTCTACAAGTATTTACATATCCCACTTATGTTTCTAGAATTCCACGATTGTATGATACTCCATGAAGCATGGATTCATACAGAGTGCCACCCCACACTGGTGACAAATGAATCATGTGTCCTTCCGCTGTTGGGGTCATTTTGTGGTGGTAGCACACACAACACACTTTTTCTGGGAATTCTTCTTTGGGGTAGGTGGTATTGGTGACAGTTAGGGGTTATTCAGTCTGGCACTTCCCCCACTGGCTGTGGTTGTGGGACAAGTTGCTGTTGAGGGGCAGGTACAGGTGTGGTACCATACTTTCTTGCTATCTGTTTGACAACATTCAGAGAGAATTCTGCAAAATATTGTCGTTTTCCAGTCTTTATTTTGTACATATTGAATGCATTGAGCATTGCAATGTCTACAAGGTGAAATAACAGTTTTATATACCACTTGCGACTCCTACGTACACAGTCAATGAATCCTATCATCATGTCACGCTTACCAACTAGTCGCGTATTGTTCGTATAGTCCACGATGGCAGCTGGCTTTACAATGCATTCATTGGTCTCCCTGTTCACTTTGTCTGTTTGTACCATCTTGTTTCTGTGGATGGTGAACAGCAATGTCACATTCTGTTTGTCATGCCACGTCAGTGCCTTGATGTCATTAGCATGAAACACTTGCATTGCACCTTCAACACTGCCTCCACTGAACCTTGGCATGTGTTTTCTATTCCTTCTCACTGTTCCACATATATCAGTATTGTTCACACATAGGAAATTGGCGAGCATAGGGCTTGTGTACCAGTTGTCTGTGTACAATGTATGGCCCTTGCCAAAGTATGGTTCCATCATCCTGCAAACAACAACACCAGAAATGCCCAACATCCGTCTGTCATCATTGGGTGTATTTCTCCCGGTGTATACAATAACATCCAACACAAGACCACTCTCACAGTCACACATAACAAAAAGTTTTATACCAAAGCGATTACATTTGCTCGGTAATTATTGCTTGAATGACAAGCGTCCCTTGAACAGAATCAAGGACTCATCAACAACAATGTTCTTGAAGGGATAAAAGTATGCACTGAATTTCTGCTTCAAATACATAAACACTTCCCGGATTTTGTATAGAAGGTCATTTCTGTTTGCCGTATTTCTGTCTGAGAAGTGCAACATTCGTAGCAACAGAGTGAATCTGTTGCAAGGAAGGAAGTCATGGAAGACTGGAGTACTAATGAAGTGGTCTGTGGACCAGTAATTACATATATTGTTCTTATAGGTATGTGGCATAAGTATGACAGTGGCAAGGAATAAATACATTTCAGCCACTGTTGTGTCTTTCCACTTGTGCAGCCGTGACAATTCTCCAACCTCTGCTGTGTTGTCCATGACATATTGGTAATAATTGTTTGTCTGGGTCACTATCAAGTTCATTATAGGCTAGTCAAAGTACCACTGGAAATAGTCTACCTCTGTAGACTCATTCATTAGGGGACATTCTGGCTGGATGCCACTTCCACTCACATCAAAATCACAAGGCTGTGGCACAAATATACTTTGTGTCCAGTTCCACTCACGATCACATGGTGCAGGGTGGACCTGTGGCATGGGCAAAGGGGAGCAGGAGAGGAGGGCAGCACATGGTTGGGGGATGCCGGGCGTCCTTTGTCTGTCCACCCACCACGCCATGTGGCCCAGGCACCATCACACCCACCACTACTTCCTCTATCCCCACATACTCCCGTTCATGATCACTTTCACTATCAGTGGCCGGGGTTTTGGATCGTGACCTGCCACGACCCTTGGGGATTGCATATGGCACACTGCCTGAATGTAGATGATGATGCCTAAAAGTACACTTCACTGGTGAATAATGAACTTCAGTATCGCTAGACGAATCCTCGAATGGCATAAGATCAATCTCATCGTCACTTACATCACTTTCACTGTCACTAAAACACCGGGAAAATGATAGTTTCCTCTTGCGAAGTTGCCTATGGGTAACACTCGCCACTCCAGAGGTGCTTGGCCCAGGGTCTTGTGTGGCCACACTGGCCACCCCAAAAGTGCTTGGCCTAGGTTCTGCTGTGGCCACACTGGGTACCCCAGAGGTGCTTGGCCCAGGGTCTGGTGTGGCCACTGCAGAGGTGATGGGCTGAGGATCATCTGGGTTATTGTTGACATTTTCACTAATTGCTTGAATATTACTGGCCCCATTGGTGTCAGGTTCACTAAACTCACAATCTATATCACTTCCCTCGAATAGTAGAGTGTTAATACAACAAGGCGTGAGTGACTCACGAGGATGTGCCGTGATGTTGACCCAAGATGGAGCTGAATGTAACTGGACCTACCATGTGGTACCCAGGCGTCCCCGTTTATATATGTTTGGGGCGCTAGTGGTAAGAACATATATATACGTTTGGACCGTTTAGGGGTTAAGTGGTAATTGGTGTTAACTTATGATTATGTATCCTTGCACAGCTGACCCCACAAATTTAGAACCTTCATAATTTGAAAGATTTGATTACACAATGCTTTTATTGAAGAACATCTCATGAATAGCTTAGATTATTTGCAAATGCTTATGTTTTTGGCATGAAATACAACCCCAGAATTTAAAAATAATTATTTGTATAGAGTTTTGTTCAAAATGTACTCAAAACTTCCCTCAGGTAGTGTTGTTTTTTCTGAATGTCACTATTAAGGAGATTCAAGCAGTAATTCAAGAGATATGAATTGTGAAGCACAAAATGAATCCAACCTGAAACAAAATTTATTATAATGATATTTCTGCATTTGTAAATTTCAGATCTTTAGGAGAATGACTTTCAGGAATTTAGGGATTTTACTGTGCAGTACTTGGCTAGTTAGATCATACCTACACTGTATTAGGTGTTGTGTAGCACTGGGGAAATGTAGAGAAGTGGAGTGTTTCTCACTTGTCTGTCAAATGTATTTGTCCAATTTAGGTTCATTAGAACGGTTCTCTAAATAATCTGGAATGTTCGATGACTTTTGGGATATCTGTATTGCTTTATTCATGAGAATGTCAGTTTTTGAAGAGTTTCTGTATTCTAACATCTGTTCATTTGAAGCAGGATCTCTTTGCTTCACAAGATGCCCCAGATATCGAGGATGCTTTTGCACAACAGTCACAGACCATGGGACCAACTGTGACAACAGGCAAACGAAAGAGAATTCCAGAATCAAGTAAAGAAATTGATGACTTAACCAAAAGTTGGAGAGATGTATTGGGCAACCCTCCTAGCATGGGTAACTCTAAGGTGAGTATAAATAACTGCAGCTTATCTTTTATGTCACCATTTTGAAATAGGAAAAGGGTATTTACAAATATTGCTTTTATCATTTTTTCATTTTTTATCCTTTCCTCTTTTTTTTCCCCACTCTGGCTTTCATCCACTAAGTAGGGTATCCCTCTATAAAAAAAAAAGGAGACACTCTTTATCATTCATTCAGTAGCTGACTTGTTAGAAGTGCACCACAGACTTAACAGTTCAAACGATACTTCAGAACTGTATCTCCCGTCTCTAGGACTCAAATTCAGCTTACCAGTTTCCCTGTATCCCATTATTCAATGCCAAAATTTTGTTACTCTATTGCCTTGCTCCTTTTTTCTCTGTTCACTTTTAGTTTCACTTTTTTACACACTTTCCCAAACTCATCTGCCAACCTTTGCAATTTCTCTTTAGAATTTCTCAAAAGAACTGTGTCACTGGTAAAGATCAACTGTCACAACCATTGCTCTGTACCAAATTCATTATCTTTAATCCCATATCTCTTCCTATTCCTCTAGCAATCACTTCTTTTTCAACTCCGTTTATAAATATACTGTATTAAAAAAACATGGCGATATTAAGCATCCTTATTGTAGGCCTAGGGATGTATAATGTCCTCCCCCTTCTTTTATTAAAATTTTCTCTAGCATTTATTTTGGGAGGGTGTGTAAAGGTAGAAAGTTGAAAGTGAATATAGATAAGAGTAAGGTGATAAGGGTATGAAACGATTTAGATTAAGAAGAATTGGGTATCACATTGGAGGGAGGGAGTATGGAAGAAGTGAATGTTTTCAGATATTTGGGAGTTGACTTGTCAGCAGATGGGTTTATAAAAAGTCAAGTAAACCATAGAATTGATAGAGGAAAGAAAGGTGAATGGTACATTGAGGTATCTGTGGAGACAAAGAACGTTATCCATAGAGGCAAAGAAGGGAATGTACGAGAGTATAGTGGTACCAACACTCTAATATGGATGTGAAGCATGGGTTGTAAATGCTTCAGTGAGGAGGCAGCTGGAGGCAGTGGAGATGTCATGTCTAAGGGCAATGTGTAGTGTAAATGTTATGCAGAGAATTTGTAGTGTGGAAATTAGGAGGAAGTGTGGAGTTACTAAAAGTATTAGAGGGCTGAAGAGGGGCTGTTGAGGTGGTTTGGTCATTAAGAGAAAATTGAACAAAATAGAATGACTTGGAGAGCATATAAATCTCTTAAGGAAGGAAGGCTGGGTAGGGGTCGCTCCCAAAATGATTGGAGGGAGGGGATAAAGGTGGTTTCATGGGTGAGGGGCTTGGACTTCCAGCATGTGTGCGTGAGCATGTTAGATAGGAGTGAATGGAGACGAATGGTTTTTGGGACCTGACAAGCTGTTGGAGTGTGAGCAGGGTAAGATTTTGTGAAGGGATTCAGGGAAACCGGTTAGCCGAACTCGAGCCCTAGAAATGGGAAATGCAATGCCTGCACTTTAGGATATTGGCAGTTTGGAGGGACATCTAAACTGTCGTATCTGAGCCTCTGCAAAAATAGTGATTATGTATGAGTGATTGTGTAAGTGTTAAATGATGAAAGTTTTTTCCTTCTAAGTGAGGAGAGGCTCTATATCTCTTTGAGATGGCATGTCACTGAATCTTTGCCTCTCATAACCTATACTTTTTTGTAGGTGACTCAGTTGTCAGGGGCAAGGAGCTAGATAGCCTTTCGTGTGTAACAATAAGTAATCTGGCAAGCAAAGAAATTAATGTGCTTTTCTTTTTTGAATTACTGTTGTGGTAGGAATACAGCCAATGAGTTTAAATAAATTACCAGTTGGTAAACAAAAATTTTACGTATTGTAATTGATATTATCCTGGACCATTTCGTGAAAATGAGAAATTTTATTTAATATTTAAACCGGTTAGCTGGACTTGAGTCTGAGGTGGGAAGTACAGTGCCTGCACTCTGAAGGAGGGGGTGGGGATATTTAGTTTTGAACTGTAGTATAGTGCTCCCCTGGCAAGACAGTGATGGCATGAGGGATGGTGAAAATGTTTCTTCCTTTTTGGTTCAACCTGCCTTGGTAGGAGATGGCTAGTTTGTTGAAAAAAAATATTTATCAGTATTCAGCAGTGTGTCTGATGGAGAGGGTGAAACTCTTAATTTTTATATGAGAGGGAGACACATTGTAACATCATTTCTGTTATTCATGTTTGTATTCTACCTAAAATTTCAAATATGTTAGAAAATGCTTCAGACTTCTCTGAAATATTGAATTATACTACAGTGTTAAATACTCTTAATATCATACTATACAATATCAAAATCATCTTCATAACTCCATGAAGGCATTTACCAGGAGAAAATGCAAATGTTGCTGAAAAAAAAAGAATATAGTTCTAGATATTCAGAGTTACATATCTTTTTTCATGTCACTTTTCACACTTGTATACCTCACAGAGAACTAGTATTACTTACTACTAGCAACTGGTCCACAGCATGTATCAGTCAGTACACCAGATGCCCATCATATTGGTCTTCCTCTTCAATGAATTCTGTTCAGTACACTTTGAATTCTGTTGAATACACTTTCTTCACTGCTATTATCAGCCCTGTGTTGATTAGTATTATTATATTCATGGGGTGATACTAAACCCATAGTGATCATTATAAAGTGTCTGGGGAATGGGAGGTGATCAGGTTTGATCCAAGGAAGAAATTAATAGCTCCAATTCCCTTAGTTAAGAGCCTTAATCATCATCATCATTATCTCCTTTGAAGGGATCTATTTGTTGAACATAACCATACAATCTTGGCATGTGCTCCTCAGTCATGCTGTGAATAAACTTTTGCACCCTACATGTTCTAATATCATTATTATGGTAATTTTTATTATGTTTATCCTTTTGGCACTGCACATGTGCCTCAGATTCTTAATCTCTTGTGTTCTAACTCTGGATTCTTTACACTTTCCACCAAAGCATACTTATTCTGTACCTAGTAATTGGAACAATCTACCTGATAATTGTTGAAATCATTCTTCATCTGTATGTGGTAGTTGGAGCAATCATTCTTCATCTGTACCTTGTAGTTAGAGCAATCATTCTTCATCTGTACCTGGTAGCTGGAGCAATCATTCTTCATCTGTACCTGGTAGTTGGAGCAATCATTCTTCATCTGTACCTGGTAGTTGGAGCAATCATTCTTCATCTGTACCTGGTAGTTCAAGCAATCATTCTTCTCTGTACCTGGTAGTTGGAACAATCATTCTTCATCTGTACCTGGTAGTTGGAGCAATCATTCTTCTCTGTACCTGGTAGTTGGAACAATCATTCTTCATCAGTACCTGGTAATTGGAACAATCATTCTTCATTGGTACCTGGTAGTTGGAACACTCATTCTTCATCAGTACCTGGTAGTTGGAACAAACATTCCTTCAAGCAGTTTATTCCTGACCAAGGCTTTTATTACACTAGCAACTTTTACTTAACTCTTCTCTCTGCTCTTAACTTTCAACAAATTCTTTTTTTGTCATAACTCACTTTTAAATATTTCAGTGCAGCAGTTTTTAATGCATAATATTTTGTTATCCATCTTTTTTTTTTTTTTTTTTCAACAAGTCGGCCGTCTCCCACCGAGGCAGGGTGACCCAAAAAAGAAAGAAAATCCCCAAAAAGAAAATACTTTCATCATCATTCAACACTTTCACCACACTCGCACATTATCACTGTTTTTGCAGAGGTGCTCAGAATACAACAGTCTAGAAGCATACACATATAAAGATACACAACATATCCCTCCAAACTGCCAATATCCCAAACCCCTCCTTTAAAGTGCAGGCATTGTACTTCCCATTTCCAGGACTCAAGTCCGACTATATGAAAATAACCGGTTTCCCTGAATCCCTTCACTAAATATTACCCTGCTCACACTCCAACAGATCGTCAGGTCCCAAGTACCATTCGTCTCCATTCACTCCTATCTAACATGCTCACGCACGCTTGCTGGAAGTCCAAGCCCCTTACCCACAAAACCTCCTTTACCCCCTCTCTCCAACCCTTTCGAGGACGACCCCTACCCCGCCTTCCTTCCCCTATAGATTTATATGCTTTTCATGTCATTCTACTTTGATCCATTCTCTCTAATGACCAAACCACCTCAACAACCCCTCTTCTGCCCTCTGACAAATACTTTTATTAACTCCACACCTTCTCCTAATTTCCACACTCCGAATTTTCTGCATAATATTTACACCACACATTGCCCTTAAACAGGACATCGCCACTGCCTCCAACCGTCTCCTCGCTGCTGCATTTACCACCAAGCTTCACACCCCTTATAAGAGTGTTGGTACTGCTATACTTTCATACATTCCCTTCTTTGCCTCCATAGATAAAAGTTTTTTGACTCCACATATACCTCAACGCACCACTCACCTTTTTTCCCTCATCAATTCTATGATTAACCTCATCCTTCATAAATCCATCCGCCGACACGTCAACTCCCAAGTATCTGAAAACATTCACTTCTTCCATACTCCTCCTCCCCAATTTGATATCCAATTTTTCTTTATCTAAATCATTTGACACCCTCATCACCTTACTCTTTTCTATGTTCACTTTCAACTTTCTACCTTTACACACATTCCCAAACTCATCCACTAACCTTTGCAATTTTTCTTTAGAATCTCCCATAAGCACAGTATCATCAGCAAAAAGTAACTGTGTCAATTCCATTTTGAATTTGATTCCCCATAATTTAATCCCACCCCTCTCCCAAAACACCCTAGCATTTACTTCCTTTACAACCCCATCTATAAATATATTAAACAACCATGGTGACATTACACATACCTGTCTAAGACCTACTTTTACCGGGAAGTAGTCTCCCTCTCTTCTACACACCCTAACCTGAGCCTCACTATCCTCATAAAAACTCTTTACAGCATTTTAATAACTTACCACCTATTCCATATACTTGCAAATCTGCCACATTGCTCCTCTATCCACTCTATCATATGCCTTTTCTAAATCCATAAATGCAATAAAAACTTCCTATCTTTATCTAAATACTGTTCACATATATGCTTCAATGTAAACACCTGATCTACACATCCCCTACCCACTCTAAAACCTCCTTGCTCATCGCAATCCTACATTCTGTCTTACCTTAATTCTTTCAATTATAACCCTACAGTACACTTTTCCTGGTATACTCAGTAAGCTTATTCCTCTATAATTTTTACAGTCTCTTTTGTCCCCTTTCCCTTTATATAAAGGGACTATACATGCTCTCTGCCAATCCCTAGGTACCTTCCCCTTTCATAATTTATTAAACAAAAGTACCAACCACTCAACACTATATCCCCCCCTGCTTTTAACATTTCTGTCATGATCCTATCAGTTCCAGCTGCTTTACCCCTTTCATTTTACGTTAATGCCTCACGTACCTCCCCCACACTTACATTCTGCTCTTCTTCACTCCTAAAGATGGTATACCTCCCTGACCAGTGCATGAAATTACTGCCTCTGTTTCTACCTTAACATTTAAAAGTTCCTCAAAATATTCTCGCCATCTACCCAATACCTCCATCTCCCATCTACTAACTCCCCTACTCTGTTTTTAACTGACAATTCATATTTTCCCTAGGCTTTCTTAACTTGTTTAACTCACTCCAAAATTTTTTCTTATTTTCATTAAAATTTCTTGACAGTGCCTCTCCCACTCTATCATCTGCTCTCCTTTTGCACTCTCTCACCACTCTCTTTACCTTTCTTTTACTCTCCATATACTCTGCTCTTCTTATAACACTTCTGCTTTGTAAAAACCTCTCATAAGCTACCTTTTTCTCTTTTATCACACCACTTTACTTCATCATTCCACAATCACTCCTCTTTCCTCCTGCCCCCACCCTCCTATAACCACAAACTTCTGCCCCACATTCTAATACTGCATTTTTAAAACTATTCCAACCCTCTTCAACCCCCCCACTACTCATCTTGCACTAGCCACCTTTCTGCCAATAGTCGCTTATATCTCACCGAACTTCCTCCTCCCTTAGTTTATACACTTTCACCTCCCTCTTACTTGTTGTTGCCACCTTCCTCTTTTCCCATCTACCTCTTACTCTAACTGTAGCTACAACTAAATAATGATCCGATATATCAGTTGCCCCTCTATAAAACATGTACATCCTGGAGCCTACCCATCAACCTTTTATCCACCAATACATAATCTAATAAACTACTTTCATTACGTGCTACATCATACCTTGTATATTTTTTTTATCCTCTTTTTCAATAAAATATGTATTATTATTACCAAATTTCTTTCTACACATAGCTCAATTAAAGGCTCCCCATTTACGTTTACCCCTGGCACCCCAAGTTTACCTACTACTCCTTCCATAACATTTTTACCCACTTTAGCATTGAAATCCCCAACCACCATTACTCTCACACTTGATTCAAAACTCCCCACGCATTCACTCAACATTTCCCAAAATCTCTCTTTCTCCTCTACACTTCTCTCTTCTCCAGGTGCATACACGCTTATTATAACCCACTTTTCACATCCAATCTTTATTTTACTCCACATAATCCTTGAATTAATACATTTATAGTCCCTCTTTTCCTGCCATAGCTTATCCTTAAAACATTATTGCTACTCCTTCTTTTGCTCTAACTCTATTTGAAACCCCTGACCTAATCCATTTATTCCTCTCCACTGAAACTCTCCCACCCCCTTCAGCTTTGTTTCACTTAAAGCCAGGACATCCAGCTTCTTCTCATTCATAACATCCACAATCATCTCTTTCTTATCATCTGCACAACATCCACGCACATTCAGACTTCCCACTTTGACAATTTTCTTCTTCTTATTCTTTTTAGTAATCTTTACAGGAAAAGGGGTTACTAGCCCATTGTTCCCGGCATTTTAGTTGACTTTTACAACACGCATGGCTTACGGAGGAAAGATTCTTATTCCACTTCCCCATGGATTAAAAGGAAAATTAATAAGACCAAGAACTATTAAGATAAAATCAAAGAAAACTCAGATGAGTGTGTATAAATAAATGTGTACATGTATGTGTAGTGTGACCTAAGTGTAAGTAGAAGTAGCAAGACATGCCTGTAATCTTGCATATTTATGAGACAGACAAAAGACATCAGCAATCCTACCATCATGTAAAACAATCACAGGCTTGGTTTTACACTCACTTGGCAGGACGGTAGTACCTCCCTGGGTGATTGCTGTCTACCAACCTACTACCATCTATTGCCATTAATTTACTTTTTGTTGCATTAATTTTCAGCAGTCTTCTCTTTCACATGCAGAACAACTTGCAGCTGACCTATATCTCTCTCTTTCTTATCCAAATAAATAAAATTTGATATCTTGATATAAATCAAACAACTATGGCAACATTACATGTTTTTTGCATTACTTGTCTTCAAACTCATTTTGTCCTTGGTAGGAAACAGCAGATATGGTAAAAAAAAAAAAAAATACTCTTTGCCTAAAGTTTTAAATTAGAATGTTTACAAGAATGGTGCTATTAAATTTAGGCAGGATTTCTTATTTTTTAAGAAAAACCTGATTGAATCTCTCAAAGTCATAGAAAATATTAGAACCTAAAAGTGCTTAGGAATATAGCTAAATTGTTGGCAAGCAAATTTCTTGTAATAAATTTTAATCATAAGGTTACATCTATGTTTAAGGGAGATTACAAGTGAGAAAATATTCTTAAAATTGTATTCTGACACTGCATCCAACTTTGTCCAGGAAGTATGTGCAGTGGTCCCTTGAGTTATGAAATTAATCCAATATGGAAACCATATTGTACCTCAAAACTATCATAACTCAAGCCCCAAAATACATGTTTTTATGGAAATTCATTTCAAGATGACGGAACACACCCAACCTGTCCTTGGATACTTTTTCTTTCTTAAACACTTTGGGGTTTTCTGAGTGGTAAACAAACATAGGTTTCAGCTTGAAATCTCCAGCAGAATAAGCCTATCTTTCAAAGGCTTATACCCAGCCAAGTGGCAGGACAGGCAGGAAAGGGCAGAGGAAGAGCAGGCAGGGCAAGCCATAGAAGGTAGTCAGAGCAGGCTGGAGCATATAGAGAGAGGCAGGGCAAGACAGACTAGAGCAAGTAGGGCAGGACAGAGTTGGGCAGGCATGGCATGGCAGGGTAGGTCAGGTCAGGGCAGGCCAGGCCAGGCTAAGCAGACCAGACCAGGACTGGGCAGGGCAAGGCAGGGAGTGCAGAACAAGGTAACCAGGGCATAGCAAGGCAAGCAGAACAGGGCAGGCAGGGCAGGGAACAGCAGAACAGAAATAGGTAAAGAATTGTAGATGATATTTATGCTCTTTCTCCATGGGGAAGTGGAACAGAATTCTTCCTATGTAAGCCATGCATGTCATAAGAGGCGACTAAAATGCTGGGAGCAAGGGGCTAATAGCCCCTTCTCCTGTATGTATTACTAAATTTCGAAGGAGAAACTTTCGTTTTTCCTTTTGAGCCAACCCACCTCGGTGGGATACGGCTGGTACGTTAAAAGAAGAAAGAAGATTTATGCTCTTTTTGTCGCAGCCTCCCAACTCCTGCATCTGTTACACATGCAGTGCCCCTCTGCCTGCCTACCTTCATTCCACCCTCACCCTGTGCCTCCCTCCCACTTATCTCCAACACACCCTCCACCATCACTACATTTAACACCTTTTCATCACCCTGTCTTATCTTTGGGCTGAGGCCCACCCACATGTGCTAACCACTGTACACGTATCATATCTCAAATTTTTCATCACAACTCAAAACTAAATTCTTTTATGAGGGTAAATTAAGATCATTGTAACTCAAAACCATTGTAATCTAAAAAACCACTGTACCAAGAAATACAATAATTTGTTCATTGTACATTTCAGGAAGAATTAACAGCTTGGATTAGATTTCAAAAAAAGAAATGGGAGTTTCAACGACAGCAGCGAGAAAGTCAATCAAAGAGAAAGCGAACAGGGAGCTACCCGACCATTGGAGTCAGTGGGAGGGGTGATACTGGTAGTGTTGTGAGAGCAGGACCTGCTACTACACTTGGGGGCTTCCTCCGCAGAACACAGCGTACTCTGATGGATGTGCCTTGGCAGATCATTCAGGTAACCTGAGTGAAAATTTTAAGCTGAATTTTTAATCTTTGTATGAAAAGAGTCGATCTAGGTGATTCTTAAATAATGAATATTATATACATTGGGAATTGGCAAAATTGTCCTTTGCTGATGAAAAAGTGCATTTGGAAGATTCTGGAAAGGTATTTCATAGGTTGGCGGAAGAGTTTGGGAGGGTGCGTAAAAGAAGGAAGTTTAAAGTTAACATAGGAAGCAACAAGATGATGAAAGTTATTTTCATGATATGGTAATTGTCTCATTTCAAGAAGTCAAGGCACTGAAAAATTAGACATCAGATTAGAGGGAAGGAGTAATGAGGAGGTGAATGTACAGTATTTAGCAGTTTGGGAATACATACCATGTATTGGTGGATGAATCTTAAGAAAGACTAGGAAAAATCATACAATAATTGAAGGCAGCTGGATACAGTAGTACACAAATAACCAGAGCATTGGAGACTGAGACTTATATTGATGTTTTGGTCCAACTTGGACTATTAACTAGGTACACTTAGTTTATTTATGGACCAGGTTGGACCAAAACATTATCATAAGTTTCATTTTCTTATGTGTGAGTTTTTCATATATTGTTCCAATCATGGTATTGTGCCTTATTTACTCTTCAGCATAGCTGGAGTTGAGGAGGAAGCTGGCAGCAGTGGAGATGTCATATCTAAGACCAGTGAAAGGTGTGAATATTGTGCAGGAGAATAAGGAGTGAAGAAATTAGGAGACAGTTTGGTGGTACGAAAAGTATAATTTAGGGAGCAGAAAGGGGTTTTAGATTATGGTAGATATAAATATTCTGAGAATCAGTTTAAATAAATGTATACACATGTAAATTAGGAAATTGGGAGAAGGTGTGGAGTTAATTAAAGTACTATTAGTCAGAGGGCTGAAGAGGGGTTATTGAGGTGGTTTGGTCATTCAGAGAGAATTGATCAAAGTAGAATGACTTGGAGAATGTATAAATCTGTAGGGGAAGGAAGGTGGGGTAAGGGTCATCCTCAAAAAGGTTGGAGGGAGGGGGTAAAGGAGGTTCTGTGGGCAAGGGGCTTGGATTTCCAGCAAGTGTGTGTGAGCGTGTTAGATAGGAGTGAATGGAGACCTGATGAGCTGTTGGAGTGTGAGCAGGGCAATATTTAATGAAAGGATTCAGGGAAGCCGGAGTTTTGTACTGGAAATGGGAAGTACAATGCCTGCACTTTGCAGGAGGGGTTTGGGTTATTGGCAGTTTGGAGGGCTATGTTATATATGCTTCTAAACTGTTGTATTTGGGCTCCTCTGCAAAGACAGTGATTATGTATGAGGTGAAAGTGTTGGATGATGATGAAAGTATTTTCTTTTTAGGGATTTTCTTTCTTTTTGGATCACCCTGCCTCAGTGGGAGATGGCCAACTTGTTGAAAAAAAAAATCAACGTTCTGAATACAGTGGAACCTTGACTTACGAGTGTCCCAACATTTGAGTTTTTTGAGATATGAGTCATCCCTGGGTTGATTTTTTGTTTTGAGTTTCGAGCCAGCTCTTCCCCCTCCCCGTTCCCCCTCAACCCAAAACCTGGACACCTCGTTTGTTTATCTATGACTTCATGCTTTAATTCCATGGAAATCATTCTCTTTTTCTTCTCAGCACTGTCCTTTACACTTTCTTAGGACCCATGCTTAGAAAAATGAAATTTGGCCAAATGACTGTCAAAAATGTAAGCAAAGCATGAGAGAACTGTTCCCACAGCGAGGTAAATAGTGCACTGAGTTGGCAGCATTCGTTATAATTCTTCTTCTTTCAACGTACCAGCTGTATCCCAACAAGGTGGGGTGGCCCAAAAGGAAACACAAAAGTTTCTCCTATTTGTTATAATTATAATAATAATAATAATAATAATAATAAATTATTATTATTAGTGTTATTCTTTCTTCTTTCTTTCAACAAACCGGCCGTATCCCACCAAGGCAGGGTGGTCCAAAAAGAAAAACGAAAATATTAGTGTTATTATTATTATTCTTATTAATTTAGGTAGCTAGAGCACAGATCCAGTTCCTAAATCAAGAGCCCTGCACCAGTGTCAAGGTTCCTTGATGCTGGTGAGGGGGCTCTTGATCAAGGGAGTTGGGTCTGTGCTCCAGTTCCCTAAATTAATAATAATAATAATATTATTATTATTATTATTATTATAATAACTATAGAGCTTCAGTTCCCTAAATTAATAATAATAATAATAATATAATAACGACAATAATAATAATAATATTATTATTATTATTATTATTATTATTATTATTATTATAATGATAGAGCTTCAGTAGCACATAATGAAAGTAGTTTATTAGATTATGTATTGGTGGATAAAAGGTTGATGGGTAGGCTCCAGGATGTACATGTTTATAGAGGGGCAACTGATATATCGGATCATTATTTAGTTGTAGCTACAGTTAGAGTAAGAGGTAGATGGGAAAAGAGGAAGGTGGCAACAACAAGTAAGAGGGAGGTGAAAGTGTATAAACTAAGGGAGGAGGAAGTTCGGGTGAAATATAAGCGACTATTGGCAGAAAGGTGGGCTAGTGCAAAGATGAGTAGTGGAGGGATTGAAGAGGGTTGGAATAGTTTTAAAAATGCAGTATTAGAATGTGGGGCAGAAGTTTGTGGTTATAGGAGGGTGGGGACAGGAGGAAAAGGAGTGATTGGTGGAATGATGAAGTAAAGGGTGTGATAAAAGAGAAAAAGTTAGCGTGTAAGAGGCTTTTACAAAGCAGAAGTGTTATAAGAAGAGCAGAGTATATGGAAAGTAAAACAAAGGTGAAGAGAGTGGTGAGAGTGCAAAAGGAGAGCAGATGATAGAGTGGGAGAGGCACTGTCAAGAAATTTTAATGAAAATAAGAAAAAATTTTGGAGTGAGTTAAACAAGTTAAGAAAGCCTAGGGAAAGTATGGATTTGTCAGTTAAAACCAGAGTAGGGGAGTTAGTAGATGGGGAGATGGAGGTATTAGGTAGATGGCGAGAATATTTTGAGGAACTTTTAAATGTTGAGGATGAAAGGGAGGCGGTAATTTCATGCACTGGTCAGGGAGGTATACCATCTTTTAGGAGTGAAGAAGAGCAGAATGTAAGTGTGGGGGAGGTACGTGAGGCATTACGTAGAATGAAAGGGGATAAAGCAGCTGGAACTGATGGGATCATGACAGAAATGTTAAAAGCAGGGGGGATATAGTGTTGGAGTGGTTGGTACTTTTGTTTAATAAATGTATGAAAGAGGGGAAGGTACCTAGGGATTGGCAGAGAGCATGTATAGTCCCTTTATATAAAGGGAAAGGGGACAAAAGAGATTGTAAAAATTATAGAGGAATAAGTTTACTGAGTATACCAGGAAAAGTGTACTGCAGGGTTATAATTGAAAGAATTAGAGGTAAGACAGAATGTAGGATTGCGGATGAGCAAGGAGGTTTCAGAGTGGGTAGGGGATGTGTAGATCAAGTGTTTACATTGAAGCATATATGTGAACAGTATTTAGATAAAGGTAGGGAAGTTTTTATTGCATTTATGGATTTAGAAAAGGCATATGATAGAGTGGATAGAGGAGCAATGTGGCAGATGTTGCAAGTATATGGAATAGGTGGTAAGTTACTAAATGCTGTAAAGAGTTTTTATGAGGATAGTGAGGCTCAGGTTAGGGTGTGTAGAAGAGAGGGAGACTACTTCCCGGTAAAAGTAGGTCTTAGACAGGGATGTGTAATGTCACAATGGTTGTTTAATATATTTATAGATGGGGTTGTAAAAGAAGTAAATGCTAGGGTGTTTGGGAGAGGGGTGGGATTAAATTATGGGCACTCAAATTCAAAATGGGAATTGACACAGTTACTTTTTGCTGATGATACTGTGCTTATGGGAGATTCTAAAGAAAAATTGCAAAGGTTAGTGGATGAGTTTGGGAATGTGTGTAAAGGTAGAAGATGAGTAAGGTGATGAGGGTATCAAATGATTTAGATAAAGAAAAATTGGATATCAAATGGGGGAGGAGTATGGAAGAAGTGAATGTTTTCAGATACAGTGGACCCCCGCTTAACGATCACCTCCAAATGCGACCAATTATGTAAGTGTATTTATGTAAGTGCGTTTGTACGTGTATGTTTGGGGGTCTGAAATGGACTAATCTACTTCACAATATTCCTTATGGGAAAAAATTCGGTCAGTACTGGCACCTGAACATACTACTGGAATGAAAAAAGTTCGTTAACCGGGGGTCCACTGTACTTGGGAGTTGAAGTTTCGGCGGATGGATTTATGAAGGATGAGGTTAATCATAGAATTGATGAGGGAAAAAAGGTGAGTGGTGCGTTGAGGTATATGTGGAGTCAAAAAACGTTATCTATGGAGGCAAAGAAGGGAATGTATGAAAGTATAGTAGTACCAACACTCTTATATGGGTGTGAAGCTTGGGTGGTAAATGCAGCAGCGAGGAGACGGTTGGAGGCAGTGGAGATGTCTTGTCTAAGGGCAATGTGTGGTGTAAATATTATGCAGAAAATTCGGAGTGTGGAAATTAGGAGAAGGTGTGGAGTAAATAAAAGTATTAGTCAGAGGGCAGAAGAGGAGTTGTTGAGGTGGTTTGGTCATTTAGAGAGAAAGGATCAAAGTAGAATGACATGGAAAGCATATAAATCTATAGGGGAAGGAAGGCGAGGTAGGGGTTGTCCTCGAAAGGGTTGGAGAGAGGGGGTAAGGGAGGTTTTGTGGGCGAGGGGCTTGGACTTCCAGCAAGCGTGCGTGAGCGTGTTAGATAGGAGTGAATGGAGACGAATGGTACTTGGGACCTGACGATCTGTTGGAGTGTGAGCAGGGTAATATTTAGTGAAGGGATTCAGGGAAACCGGTTATTTTCATATAGTCGGACTTGAGTTCTGGAAATGGGAAGTACAATGCCTGTACTTTAAAGGAGGGGTTTGGGATATTGGCAGTTTGGGGGGATATGTTGTGTATCTTTATACGTATATGCTTT